AAAGGAGAGGAGAGGAGAGGAGAGGAGAGGAGAGGAGAGGAGAGGAGAGGAGAGGAGAGGAGAGGAGAGGAGAGGAGAGGAGAGGAGAGGAGAGGAGTAACTGAAGGATACACATCATACAAGACGTTCCACACCAGAGGAAGGACGTGGCAACCCAGCTCCATGCACTTCCTTGGCCCCCCAGCACTGCAGTCAAAGCAATGGCTTTGTGTTTGTATGCATACACAAATACACGTATATATACACATATATGTACATGTACACATTTATGTTCAGCTCCAAGAGAATGACCTAGACTTCTTTTTTGACACATGGGTGTACAAAACACAGCTCACAAAGCCAACCACATTTTCCCGAGTTGCTTTCCAATAAAATGTTTACAGCCCAGCAAACACAGAAATTCCCCAAGCCCTCGCTCTCCCCAGAGGCCAGTAAAGCCCGTGTATATTTCAACAGTAAAAGTGTCACTGTAGCCTCTGTTGGGCCGCCCCTCTCCGATTGTCCGTGCTCGGTCTGCTCCTGAGACAGAGGGAGACCGAAGAAATACACAGCCCACGGTATTTATTGACAGCAGAGGTCAGCGCTCCTCCTCATCAGCGTATTTCACAGCCTCAGCTCCACCTGACAGCTCCGGGGGAGCCTCCTGGGGGGGAAGGTGGGAGGAACAGCGGCACGACTGATGCACACCGAGACCTTCAGGCATGACGCTGTAGAACCTTACGCGGCGCAGCGCGCAGTGACTCAGCGCGGATTAACGCTGCGCGTTCCTGCAGCCCCCAGCGGGGACACGGGGCGGGCGGGGCAAAGAGAGTTGCTGGGGCAGAAACCCGCCTGCCTCGAGAGAACCACATTAGCCCCTAATGTGGGCACAGCCCCATTCCTGCCGAGGATGGCTCCAAAGGGCGATGCTCGCCCCGCTCGGTACAGCCGAGGAGATGGGATGGAGGCGGGGGACTGCTCGCCGCCCCATGTCCCACGTTGCAAAGGCTTAGCCTCAGTGTGCCGTGTCGAGGCGGGGACACGGCGACAGGAGAGGTGCAGAACTCGCCCCGATCCATCAGTTCCCGACTTCTTTCTCAGGAAGGGGCAGCGATCGCGGCAGTATCAAAGCGGCAGCCTCGAATCCCATCAGATAAACACGATTTATTCCGTCTCGTAAGCGAATAATTCCAGATGAATACATAATCCTGTCCCTCTCCTGGCCCGCTCCCAGCGGGGCCAAGAGGGTGGGAAAAGAGCGGAGGGAGGGGACACAGCGGCATCACCGCCGCCCTCGATGGGGGGAAGGAGGGGGGGCGGCCCCGCGGGGCGGTGAGCTGCTTTTCCACCGCACGGAGCGGTGCGGAAACCCCGCGGCCGCCTCTCCGCCTTTGTGCGAGCCCCGCGCGCTGCTCGGGACCTCTCCTCGGCGCTCCCTTAGGACCCAGGAGGCTGAGAGACGCGATTTGAAAAGAGTCGCCCGCCTAGGGCTGCCCGACCCCCGCACGGCGTTGCGATGCCGGCAGCTTTCTTTCCTTTTTGTCGTTACTCCGAGCTGAGCGGCTCCCGGTATCCCCCAGCCCGGAACACCCCCGGCCACGCAGCCCCTCCCCGCAGGCACCGCGGCTCCGAGGCGCGCCGGGGGTTAACGAGGGCTACGCGGAGTTTCCCTTTTCATGGCAGATCAGGTACCGGGCTCCCGGCCAACCCATCGGGGCTGCGATCTTAACTTTACATCACTGCAAATTATACCCAAACCGCATTCGAGAAGAATTTTCCCATTCCTAATTCTCTTTCAAGCCGTATTTAAACTCTCAAACCAAAAACACGTTGGCAGTTTAAGGACCCTCCGCAGACGATAAGGTGAAAACGGGCGCATCCGTCCCGTTGGGGCCGCGGGCATTCCTCGGGCGCTGCCGATGTGCTCCCCAGGAGGGACTTCCCCGGCTCTCAGCTTCCCCCTCCGAACGGGCGGCATCGCCGCCGCTTTCTCTTACGGCGTCCGACGAGATTTCAATATTTCGTTCCCTTCGCTACCGAGTAACCGGGAGAGACCGCATCTTCCTCAGACTAACGCTGCCAAAGCCCCGAGAAACGAACGGAAGGCTGCTTCCATTCTCCCTCCGCCAGCAACGTACCTCCGTCACCCAGCTTTCCCGGCACCTCTCCGGAACGGCCGCCTCCGTTGTGCCGCGGCCCGCCGGCCCCGCTGCCCTCCCGCCGGGCTCCGGGGATGCGCCGAGGCGGAGAGCGGCTGCACGGGGGCTGCTGAATGCCGTGGGGGGCCGTGAGAGCTGTGCCCTTCCCGTCCGTTGTTTTGCTACGAGAAATCGACGAGAAATCATTGTGCTCCCCCCTCTCTCATATAATAATAATAATAATAACCAAGCGTATAGATATATATATATAGATATTCGAAATTCGGAATCCCTGAGCTCAGAGCTAAGAGAAGGAGCAAGGGGACGATTTGAAGGAGTTTTTTGAGCGGAGTACGGGAAAGTTCCTGGAAAACAAAACACACAGAGCTGCCCTCAACCAACGAGGACTGGGACGGCCCCTTTCGCCCAGAAGCACGCAGGGGCTCCCGGCTTCACTTGCAGCGCTGGGATCGCAGGGAAACGACCACTTCGCCGTCAACGGCTCCTTGTTTTTTGTTGTTGTTGGTTTTTTTTATTTATTTCTTTCTTTCTTTTTTTTTTTTTCTTTTTTTTACCAATAGGACTAAAGAGGGAGGAGGCAAATGAGAGCAGCGAGGCGCTCCGTGCCCGAGCCCGCAGCCGGGTTTGGGCTCCTCGGGCTCCGTGCAGCCGGTGGAACTGAGCAGTCCTGGAGCGGAAAGCTCTCTTTTCTCTCTCTAATGAAAAAACATTAACTAAAACTAAAAATAAACCCAAAGCCTCCTATCAGCCTCACCGGGGGAAATCCTGGATTTAAAATAATAAAGATAAAAAAATAAAAATAAAAATAAAAAGGAGAGAGAAATTAAGAACCGAGCAAACGATCGGTCGTAGGCACGGATAGAAAGGGGCCACGAGCTTTGCCCCTCCTCCCGTCCTTCCCAGTCCCTTCGGGGCGAGGATCCCCGCGGAGGATTCGCAGAAGGGAACAAACGGAGGGAAAAAAAAAGGGGGGGGTGAAGGGGGGGAGGAGGTGGGGAGAGGGAAAATATGAGAAAGAAACCTCTCCCGAAATCAGTGTTTTTCACAAAGTTTGCTCTCGCAGCGGCTTTGGAGACAGTCTGCCGCCTCCCCAGCCCCGAGCAGTCCTTGCTCTCTTTGCTCCGATTCGGCAGAGCGGTAGCAACACAGCCGAGCCGAGCCGGACCGGGCCGAGCCGGGCCGAGCCGAGCCGAGCCGAGCCGAGCCGAGCCGTTCTCTCCTTCCCCGGGCGCTCGGCTCTGTTTGGAAGCGCTGCCGCAGCGCTCTCCGGCCGTCTGGTCTGCATTAGTGTTTTTATAAGGGGCTCAAACAAATCGAATACAAGGTCACCAAATAATTAACAGTTGTGAATTCCCTCCTTCCCCATTAAAATGCTTCCCCGCTTATATTTCATTTTCCTCTTGCCAACGACAACACCGCCTGGGCAAAGGCGCTGCGCAGATTGCGGTGCGCTGCAGCTCTCGGTCCACCCAGAAAGCCGCTGTTTTGCATAAACGCTCGGCACGGGGAACTGCGAGCGGGATTTGCTCTCTCCTTTCTGCCGCCGATCGCAGCTCCTGCGCGGGGCTCTCCGCTTTCTCCCGCCCCCCGACAACAGCGGTAAAACACCGCGTATCGGACCACCCCCCTCCTCCCTCCCGTCCCCATCGGCTGCACACGAAAGAGTACAAAGGAACTGGGGAGAACGAGACGATTTCGACCTATTCCCGTTTTCCTTTTTCCCGGCTGCGGGAGCCTTTAGGACGCAGAAGGGCACGAAGGCAGGAAGCCCCGCAGCCCGCCCTATGGCACCCGCTCCCCTCGGGGCACTCCCAGAACTGCGCTCCTTCACCCCGCGTTCTGTTCTCGGTTCGCCCCGAGTCTTACGGGGTTCACTGTTCGTAGCCGCCGCTTCCCTTTATTTCTGCCCTGCCCGGTGCAGCCCCGCAGCCCCTAATTGTAGAGCGGAGTGGCAGTGCTGGGGGTCCCGGGGCCAGCGAGAGCACCATCTGCGTTTTAATGAGTTACTTCATGTGCCAACAGCAATTTTCCTACATTCAGAGAGGTTCTGTCTGATCTTGCGACCGTAACAAAAGGGGGGTTGGAGGGGTGGGGGGTGCGAGAGGGAACTGGAAGGGGGGGAATCGCAGAGCTTTCCCCCTCTTTCTGTGCTCTTTACGCTGAAAATCTACATATAGATACACATATGTAATGCAGCGGCGCGGCTTTCCTCCCTCCCGATGCAGCCTGAAGGCGATCCTGTGAGCTTCGGGAGGAAGGAAAGAAAGAAAAGGTGCGGAGGTCTCCCTCGGTGCCCCCCAGCAGCGGGACCGACGCTGCGGTGTCCCGCGGTGCCCCACTCCCGTGCAGCCCCAGCGGCTCCGTCCCAGCGCAGCGCTGCGCGGCCGCTCCGTCGGTGAAGCGCAGCTCGTCCGACTAATTGGGTCAATTTGGGCGGCTCTGCCGTCTGCAAATGAATGGAGAGAACCTTCCCCCCGCTTCCCCCGAGCAAAGGCCGTTCATCATCAGCAGCGCTCCAATTAAGCGGGCTGGGAGCATACGGGGAGGTGGGCAGGAACGCGGCTCCCACTTCAGAGGAACGGAAGCTCTCTTGAAGTTTTTGGTGATGTGCCATTGGCTGGTCAGCTTCATTATGGGAGACCAGACAATATTCGCTATGTTATGACATGAACACTCAATTAGATCACTGAGTTGAAATACTCCAATCAGTGGCTTGATGCTAAGCAACCCTCGGAAGGTCCAGCAGAAGGTCACAGCCCGTGACACATCAAATCAAAATCAATGGGGAAAAGTGAGGCTTTTCCTTCATCAGAGCAGGACTTCTGGTAGCGAATCGCCTCTACCGGAGCAGATTCTCCCATGCAGCGCAACGAGCTGCGGTTGTTACATTGTCTTTCTTCTGGCGAGGACGATCCCGAGCGTGGCTCCATCCCCACAAGCCCCCCGATTTATTTCGGGGAAAGCGGCTGAGGTCGTTTTTAGGGCTGAACTTAGAGAACCTCACGCCTGGAGAGCCTCCCCCCGCACGCACCTTTCCCACAACGACGCAAAAAAACGCCCCCGTAGGGGGAAGACGGAAAGCAAAACCTCTCGTCTCCCTCCGTCCATCGGAAGCACCGCGGCACTGCAGCCCCCGACGGCGCCCCGAGTACTGGGTGTGACGGTGTGCCGGGGGGAGGAGGAGAGAATGCGTGACCTTCCTTAGGAGCCACCGAGTTAGTTCGTCATCAACCAGGATAATGTAATAATAATAATTATAAAATCTTAATAAATAAGGAGAGGCATTTTGAGGGAAGATCCGCACGCCATCTCCACCCTCGAGCTATAAAGTAACGAGAGAAAAGTGAAGCGGGGAACACGGGGTAGCAGAGAGGTCCCGGGAATCCCTGCGCCAACACTGCTGCCTGCGGGAAGCGGGGATACCGGCCCGGCCCCGCCGCCCGCCCCGTCCTACCTGCGTCCCTCCTGGCCCCGGAATGGATGGACGCGGCCCCCGCATCCGGGAGGTGCAAAGGGTGCGGGTGAGGCCCCGAGCCACTCTCTGTCCGGGCACGTCGGGGCGCGGCGGTACCGAGGCCCGGGGCTCTGGAGCGGCTGTGTGCCTGCCCCCTGTACCCGTCGGGCCGGACCTTTCCAGGTGACCCCGACGGCGCAGCCCCACGCGCAGCGAGTGCGAGCTTTCTATTTGCCTTCCAGCCGAAGCGATAAGAGAGATCCTTTTTCTCAGGCGGAAATAAAGCAGAAGAGCGATGTTTCCGAGGCTGCATTTCCACCCGAGCTGCTCCCGCAGAGCGGGGGTTGCATTTCCCCTCCGGGTGAGGGCTCGGGACGGCCACGCGTGGTTCCCAAACCACCACCTACAGCCGCCGCAGAGCGGCTTTGCTATGAAACAACACAACGCGATGCGCCGTTTACCGTCAGATCCGCCTTTCTGCGCCCCGAAGGGAGATAAGAAAGAAAAAGAATTGGGAAAAAAAAAAAAAAAACAAAGGAAAAATAAAAAAACAAAAAAAAAAAAAAAAAAAAAAGACAGAAAGAAAGAAAAGAAAAACGGAAACGTTGTGAGCGGAGCGGCGCCGGCTCCACGGATCGGCAGCGCTGCGGACGGGACTCCAGCCCCGGGGTGCGACGGGGCGGGCGGGGGCACAGCACCTACCTTGTCCCCTGTCTACGAAACTCGTGATGGTGTTGGCCGACTTGGAGGACTGGAAGAAGCTGGCGTTGATGCCCAGTTTCTCGGCGACGGAGTAGGTCCTGAAGAGGGACAGCATGTACTCGTGGGGCTCCGCCCGCGGGGGCGTCCGGCCCCCGGGCTGTGCCCCCTGCCGCGGCCGGCTCTCCCGGGGGTATCGCGGAGCCCTGCGGCCTCGCCCGCCCTTGGCCAGCTCTGCGGCGGCGGGGAGGGAGGCCGGGCGGCAGCAAGGTAAATCCCAGAGGAGGCCGGCGAGCAAGGCGGCGGAGAGCAGGGCCCGGCGCGCATTCATAGCGATCGCGGCGGGGCGGCGGCGGCCCGACGTGAGGCTCCGGCGGCGGCCCGACGTGCGGCGGGGACTGCGCGGCGGAGCGGCGCTGAACGGGGACTGCACCCGGGCGGGCCCGGCCCG